TTCAATAAATGATCAAATGTATAGAATAAATAGTATTAAATTAGGGCTGTGCTGTATATGTGGTAGACTGTAGAAACCATATGAAGTTGGCCTGCAGTAAAAATTTATACTCTACTGTTCTATCATTATTACGTCATCACACCTGTGTGAACAAGGCTGTGAGTGAAGAGACAACAGAGCAGGAGTTTGAAATATAATGAAGAAATTTTAGCATTTTAAAACACGTTTAAAGAGGATAAATCCTCAAAATTTCCTCCTCCTGCTGTAGAAAAGTTACGTCGTGTCGCAGGATCATTTCCTCCTCCTGCTGCACGTTGTGCAGAGCGAAGCTTTAACAACTGCAGTTTTTCACACTCAATTGTCAGAAAAAAAAAGTTTTTTATGTATTGTTACCCTCAGAGATTATTAAAAAAAAAGACGTGGACGTTCGTTCAGTCATAAATCCATCTTGCTCATGTAAAGTCGGCTTCTGCTCTGATGATGAAGATGATGAAGATGATGATGATGAGCACGCAGCAGAGCAGCAGCTAGGTTCAGCAGGCAGAAGCTCATTGTACGGCAGGCAGATATTAAAGCAAAAATGTTGGGTTTAATCAAGATTACAGTTTTCTGGAAAAAAAAAAAAGGCTCTAAACATTGCATGATCTTAACTTTTTATGATAATTTTCTACAGTGATAAATACTGTTAGAGTGAAGGGATTCAATTTATACCGTGATATGATTTTGAGGTCATACCGCCCAGCCCTATATTAAATGATTACATGAGCTCTCTAAATAATAAAATGTTTTTGAAAGAAATAGTTATTTTAATAGAGAAATCAGTCAGTCTAACAAATAAAAAATGTATTTACTGTATTTATTCATGTATAATACAATCATCATTTTTTGAACTTAAAGCATAAAATAATCTAATTATTAATAACCCGTGTATAATACTTCCCCCTACTTTACTGATTATTTTTAGATACATTTCTAGTATTATACATGAATAAACACAGTAAGTTATTTTGTGCAGTACAACAGACTTGCAGTATTTGGTGATATATCACAATATATCACTATATATTAATTTTAGGCCGTATCGCCCAGCTCTAGTTTTAACTCTGTTCTCACTTGATGTCTGATGAAGTAAATCTGTTTCATTAAATCAGAATTTGTGCAGCTGTTAGAGTTTACATTTAATCTGTAATAATAACCCCAATCTGAAGTGACACCTGACTAATGTGAGCTTAAATAAAGTTTATTCAAACAATCAGGTGATCTAAAGCTTCTGCTGTTTGAATTGTTTCACTTTAACTGATATTTTGCTCTAGTCCTCTGCAGTCTGTTTATTTTTATCAGTCAGACAGTCTGTATCGTCTCCACCTGTTAGACTGTTAATGTCTCTGTTTGTCTCTGTTGGACAGAGACTCACCAGAGACGACATCTTCAKCTTGGCCTGGTCCTGCTAGCTGTATGCCTTATCTGCTCTATCTTCATTCTTCTGGTTGTTAAACGGTGTCGATCAAAGGAGGTGAGTGTTTCAGCTGCTCTCAGCACAAATAAAAATGGAATTTCACAGATTGGGAGTAAAGATGAGCAGAAGGTTTCATAATCTGCATCTGTCACTCAGCTGGGACTGTTGGCAGGAAATCAAACAGGACTAATAAAATGTCCAGTTTGTGTCTGTTTGAA